CACATACACACAGATACACACATACACACATATATACACACATGCACACATACATACATATACACATACACACATACACAGATACACAGATACATATATATACACAGATACATACACACATACACACACACAAACGTACACGTATACACACATACATACACACACACACATATACAAATACAGACATATACATTACATACACAACATATACACATACACATATACACACATGCACACCTGTACACATACACGTACACACACCATATATACACAACTTACATATACAACATATACACATATGCATATATGCACACACAACATACACACATGCACACATACGCACATACACACACGTATGCACATATGCACAAATACACAAGTTTGTTGATCCCCAAATGTTTACAATTGCTATGGACCTCTTATTTCTAGGAGAAGACGCTGCTGTGGTAATCTGCAGCATTTCCTGCTGTGTGTGCTAGGGCCCAGAGACCTCGGTTACCATGGAAACTAATATCCAGCCGACCGGGTGGTACTTCCCTTCAGAGCCGCATTTGAACGAATTTCACAGTTCAATACAATGCTGCTTCTTCCTGCCTTTAAAATCAGGAAAGGGGGCAAAGCTGATTGATTACAAGTAAAATGAAAAAATACTGTTTCTGCTAAGACAGAAAGGGACCTTTAATACGCACCCTTTTAATGTGATTGTCAGAAGTAGGACAGTGCACAGTTATCTTAAAGATGGCCAAAGGATCTGATAAAATACAAAAGAATTGTGGAGGCGATAGTAAACACTCTTCTTCCTGTGCTGCTAATCCCCGGGCTTCTCTTTGAGAATGACTGGCCTGCGAGGCTGACAAGGGCATTCACCCGCTGACTCTGGTGGAGTCCATTTGGTTCACCAGAAGGGCTTGAGGGCGAACAAAAGACCTTGAGCTCTCTGCGTGTGCTGGCCATCGTGTGTTTCCTGACCCCTCTCTCTCAGAATCCACTCACAGAACCAGATCCGAGAGCCTGGGAGAGCTTGCCCGGATTTCAGCCCTTGAGTTGCCACTTAAGCACGTGATTGCCATCTGTGCTTGCTTAAAGGCGGATGCTGATTAGGAGAGTGATACTTCATTTGGATAATACGATTTAAGCCCAAGTGCAAGCTGTGTTGCTGTTCTGGAACTGCAGGAAACATGAGCCATGTAAATGCACCACACAACCTCCTGCAGTGGTCCAGGTGGTCCTACTGGTCACGGACTCCAGTCTGTGTGGGAGATGACAGTGATCCCAAGCCCTGGGTTCCCATGCAGGTATATGAACTCCGGCTTAATGAGATGGAAGGGTGGTAATTGCCTCCACCCTTATTTAGATGATGCCCATTGCTCTGGTGTTTGTTTTCTCTCTCTCTCTCTCTCTCTTTCTCTCCGAGTCTCGCTCTGTTACCAGGCTGGAGTGCATTGGTGCAATCTCGGCCTCCTGGGTTCAAGTGATTCTCCTGCCTTAGCTTCCCAAGAGACAGGGTTTCACCATGTTGGCCAGGATGGTCTTGATCTCTTGACCTCATGATCTGCCTGCCTCAGCCTCCCAAAGTGCTGGGATTACCAGGCATGAGCCACCGCGCCCGGCCTGTGTTTTCAGACGTGTTTGCAGAACGTGAGTGCTGGGAGAGAGTGCTATTTGGAGATCTTAGTCCAGCCTCGGTCTTGAGCATTTACTGTGGGTCCTCTGCTGTTGGCGCTCTCAGTTCACCCACCAGCTGCCTTATCTCAGGTTGAGAAAGGTAGTGGGAACCTGTTTTGCAAATGAAGACTCTTGGTGACTTGAAGTGATGTGGTTAAAATGGCACACAACTTTGAAGCTGTGTGCGATTTTATCCAAGTGTGCCAGACACACATTTTTGGAGTATGTCTGTCGTCTGTGTGAGGCTCCAGTCCCATGTTCTTCCCACCTCAGGGATCAGTTTATGGAAACACCGCAGAATTGAGACCAGGGTTTCTCAGTCTGTGATTTGAGGCTTGATAAATATTAGTTGTGAGGGGCGTGCTGTGCATTGTAGGTTGCTTAGCAGTATTCTCAGCCTCTACCCTCTCTCAGTTGTGAAAACCAAAAATGGGTATTGAGATTGGCCCTGGCTGAGAACCACCAAGCTAGACCTTTGAGGTTTCTGTTGAGCAATTTAATGGAACTATAGCTATGCTTTTTTTGAGGTAGTTGTAGCCAGCTTGGTTCATTTAAGCTAGGTTTTAAATCATTCATAACTAAGTTACGATTTTAGCAATTGGACAGTCCATGCATTATTTCATCTGAAAAACTACTAACTACTCTGCCAAGTTGCATGTATAAAACTCTGCGAAGAGTCCACATCTTACTAAAAAAAGACCGCTTCCTTTTTACCAGGTCATTTCCCAGACTGAAAATATGCAGGTTTTTGTTGTTGTTTGTTTTCAGAAGATTAAATCAAGTAAGAATAGGAACGGGGTGAACAGGGCGCTTGAGTTCGCATTCGTGGAGCGCTGCCTGCGTGATGGAGAGGGCTCAGCGAGGTGGAGCTGGGAATCCTATAGGAGGTGGCTGCAGACCCTCTCTGCCTGCTCACAGCTGTGTGGCCCTGGGTGGGTCAGTACAGCTGGACACACCTCAGTTTCATTGTCTATGAGATGACAGGTCTGCTGCATCTGCTTGTCCGGGTGACGGTGGAGAGGTCAAATGAGGTTGTAGTTGTGAAAGCATTTTATACATTGTAAAGTCCAGGCAGCTGTAATGAGAGGTCATGGTGCTCCTGTGACTCAGGACTTCTGGGCTCCCTGGCCACCTTCCGACTGCTGGCTCCTTGGTCACTTAGAGACGTGGCGCTCCCTTGGGTTCCGCCTTCACCCCTCATGGCTTCTCCCCTCCCACTTGTTGGTCTCCAGCTTCTGCCACTGTTTGGGATCCTGTTCAGTCCCTTTTTATAGTTATAAAATATTTTAAGTATGACATATAATTATAATGATTGTTAACTTATTATATGGCTTGTGATTCGATTCGGGGTTTGAATGGGGTCTTAAATGAATGTGGGGTTTTTGGCTGTTTGTACATGCCCCAGGTGTGCTGAACATGTCACCCCCCCTGCATCACACACACTTGGAATTCCCTCTCCTTCCCCTCACCTGCAGACTCTGACTTATCCTCCAAGGCTACCTCAGACGGTCTCTCCTACAGGACACCTTTCCTCCTTGAGGGGCTTGGGGGCCCCCTGAGAGCTCTGCCCAGACGCTGGGCTTCGCTGTCATGTCACTGTACTGTTAGCTGTTCCCTGGTCTGGAGATTCTCCCACCTTGGCCTCCCAAAGCGCTGGGATTACAGGCATGGGTCACTGCAACCAGACTCTTTCCTTTTTTTTTTTTTCTCATTGAGATGAAATTCATATACTGTAAAGCTAACCATTTTTAAGTGAACAATTCAGTGACATTTTGAACGTTTCGCAGTGCTGTGTGATACCACTTCATCCAATTCCAAAACATTTTCATTATCATGAAGGAAAGCTGGGTACCAGGATGATGAAAAGGTTCTGGAGATGGAGGTGGTGATGGTTACACGAAATGTGAATATGCTTAATACCACTGGATTGTATATTTAGAAACAGTTATAATAGTGAAATTCTTGTTTTTTATTTATTTATTTACCACGAGAAAAACACACAGAATCCCATACTCAGTAAGCAGTTACTCCCTGTCCCCACCCTTCCCAGCCTCTGGCGCTGTTTTATGTTTTCTTTATTGTTATAGCCTTAGCCCCTAACATAGTAGGGATCAAATCTCTGTTGAATGAATGGAATTACTTTCTGCTTTAACACACATTTGTTTATCCATCCAACGGCTCTGGGATGAGCAAAGTTATCTTTAAGGACATTTCTTTGAAATGTTTTGCTAGTGTTTATTTAAGGGGTTTTCTTTCTCCTTGTCTACCAGCATCTCCATAGACATGCCTCTTAAACCAAAGCAAACTTTGTAGCTTATCTGCCCCCATCTCTGTTATCTTTAGTTGACATTTGGGGCCAGTGATGGAATCTGGTGGCATCTGGCACACTCACAAACAAAGTGTTATTGAATCTCTCAGATACACGTAGCAGGTCAAATATATGCCTTTTCTTAGGCTATTGATGCTTCTTTTATGAGGGAGAAGGAAAATCTATCCATCCTTTTAGAAGTGAATGTTCTTAATCTCATTGCTTCCTTGAAATGTGGCCGCCTTGTTGGTTAATTCTTTTCTTTATGCTTGCAACTCACAAAATCTTGCTCTTTTCTGTTCCTCTATAATTCATAAAATCGTATTGCAGTTGGCTTGGGTAGAACATACTTAACTGTGGTTGAGCCTTTAGATTTTCCTTCTGGCATGGACAAAAGCGTCATTAATTATAAATATGAATTCCTTTGCAAAATGACAAGATTGAACATTTCCTCATGCCAGTAACCCAGCTGTTTCATTCTAATGTGCAACAAAGACTTTTTGGAGATTGTTTTTAATGGCCATGGTATAAAAAACTAAAAAATAAGCCAAAAGGAATGCAGAGTAGCTTACAGTTCATTTGCCTAGGGGAAAAAAAAAAAAAGAAGGGTTTTTGGTATGCTATGGTTGTCTTTACTCTGGTGGTATATTTGCAATCTTAAAGTTTTGGTTGTGGCTACAAACCAAATGGTTATGCTCTGCTGTTGTCAGATACAGGATTCTATTTGTTCAGATGGTGAGTATTTGAGAATCCTATGGCTCAGGTCATCTTTTCACTCTCCTTGGTTTGATAATGGAAATAGGAGTGGTGTCAGAGCCCTCACTGTGGGTGGGTACTGGCTTGTCGTGGCCTCACCACTATCCACTTGGTAACTTCTCTTATTGCCCCTGGAAGAGGCTGCAACTGGGCTCAGATTCCAGAACTTTTTTTTTTTTTTTTTTTTTTTTTTTGAACTGTAAGCTACTCTGCATTCGTTTAGGCTTATAAAAAACTAAAATAGAAGCCAAAAGGCCCTTTCTCCCTGGTTACAGTGATGCTTGTTCTTCAGCCTTTTTTTTTTTTTTCTTTATGCTTGCAACTCACACAATCTTGTCATTTTGCAAAGGAATTCATATTTATAATTAATGACGC